ACCCCCCAGAGCCCCTCCGAGAGCACCCCGCTGGTGCCCAGCGACAGCCAGGGTGACTCTAAAGCGTGTGAGGCCGACATGCCCAGCATCAACCACCTCCCTGCGTCGATCCTGCTAAACGTGAGTGTGAAAAGAGGAGAGGGGGAACCTGCGGGCCGGGGTACTGCCTGAGTTTTATTCGGATATTTTTATGGGGACACTATACTGTAAAAAGGCACCATCCTTCAGATGAGAAGTAGAACCGAGGACCTGACTCTCTGTGCTCGTTAAACCCAGGGTGTTTCTTGAAAAGAGTAGGGGTGTCCCGACCAAATTTCCCATTGGTCTTTACCAATCATGGCCTCCTATTTAACCCCATCTCTGAACTGGCTTCATCACTCTATCCTCCTCCCCACTGATAGCTGATTTCTGGTGAGTGTACTGGCGCATCATCCAGGTGGGGATACACATTGGTGGTGGAGGGGAGTCCCCATTACCTCTAAAGCACTTTGGGTGGAGTGTCCAGAAAAGCACTTTGTTAGTGTAAGGATGTTATTTTATTATACAGCGTACTTAGATGAAAAGTGCATTAATAGAAAACTGTCAATTTAATTCATTCACACCGGTCTGTGCACCTAGCAACTGATTCCCAGAGTGTTGGTATCAGTACAGATATTCCTGACCGTGCTTACAGGAAGACATAGTCAGGTGTGTGTTTTTCTAGTTTTTGTGTGCGGAAAGCATTCAGGACTATATACTCAATTTTCTGGCACCGTCGGAGAGATGCACTGATGACGCATTCTAGTAGCAGTGGAGAAATTTTAACGGATGAAAAATCGGTTTAAACTTTCTCTGGTTTCTGCTGGTTAATTGATTAACTGTACTCCTTCTCAATGAATTAGATTGAACTGACTGTTTGTGCATGCCCGATATAAGGCATTGCCAAACAAAAAGCTAAAGGAAAAGGAGTTGTATTTAGTTGCAGTGCAAGTGCAACAAGATTCCAGAAACGTATTTATTTGAATCACAAAAAAAATCTCTTTTTTGAGTGGTGCTATAATGCAAGTATATAATGCAAGTCCATCGTCTTATTTTATCTCATTAGGAGGCACATGATAGAGTCTTTTATTTATTCAGATCTCATTCATTTTATTCATTTTATAATTAAAATACGATGTATTATGGCAAAACTATATTAGGTATTTTCAAGGAAATAGAGGGACTCTAAGGAAAAGAAGTGGTATTTAATTAAAAACTTACTGAAAAACATTGACATTTTGACCAGGCACAAAACATTCTTTGACTCTTTGAGTTCCGGCTACATTAACGCTTTCCAATGATACCTGAAGGTACAAAAAAGGCTGAAGCTGTTTGAAATCTGACCTCTGCCCCTCCCAGCCTCTATTGGAAAAAATCCATAGTCTCATATTTCCAAATCCAAACAGTCTTGAATATTTTATAACGCGTGATCACAGGATGCTACTTCAGTTTTCTTGTGTGGTCCTTAAAGACTATACCTTAACTGTTAAGTAGAAACTATTAGTTTATTGTTGTTAAACGCTGTGTCTTACTGTATATCCGTCACACTGATCCCTTGCGTTTTTATTCATGAAATTCTTAGCAGATAAAGGAATTGATTAAGTTTTATTTTGATATGATTTTGGATATGGAGTGGCATGTTGGTGAGGGCTGTTGCCTTATGGCTGTTGGCTTCTGGGTTCAATGCTGGCTTGGTGCACATTCTGTGTGGAGTTTGCATGTTGTCCCTGAGCCTCCCTCCCTCCCTCCCTCCCTGGGGTTTTTTTTAGGCGCTCCAATGTCCTCCACAGTTTGGATGGATAATTGGTGGGCGTGTGTGTCTTGATAAGAACATATCCCTTCCAGGGTATATCGTGCTTTGCACTCGTTGTATTAGTGGTGAGTCTGTGTCTCAGTGATGCCCTCTATTGGACTGAAGTGCTGGTTATAAGTAGATGTAGTTTGATAGGTTTGCTATACGTAGTGCCAGTCTGTCTTTAGTGAAAGCACATATTTAGATGAAAAAAAAAATGTGCATAAACAGGTTGCTTATAAGAAATAGCTGTTGCTGCTTTGTACAAGTGTATATGCACACTTTAAGAACAGAAAGTGCTAAAATAATGGAAGAATGATTCCCAAAAGGAAGTTTGTAAGGGTAGGTTAAGAGTCAGTGTTTTAGGAGGTTACGAAAGCGCTGTTCTCCAGAAACATTTGCATGCAAAAAAATAAACACTTTCTATTGTTCTAAACACGTTCTAGTGATCAAGAAGTACAATATATCGATAGAGAAGTGCATTGATTTATTCTAAAATAGACAAACGTGGCTTTCTAATGCCTGCGTATTAAATTTTGATTTGGAACTGGCTGTTATTCTGCTTACTTTACATCACTGATCCAGGAATATCCCCAATCCCATCTTTCCTTATGTCACTTTACTTTAAGGAAGCACCTGTTGACATGCTGTGTTCATCCTATCCCATGCTTAACTAAACCACAATGCAGTTGTTCCATGTCGTTGTCCTTGGAATTTGATGATTGTGGGTGTCCAGGACCAGGGGTAGAGAATCCTTATGTATTCAATACCATCATGGATATTTGAGCTCACCCCCAGAGAAAATCACCAAGAACAGCATTTTCAACGGTTTGCATTTTAAACTGTTAACATTTACTATTACTGTTCTGTTCATCGTGTACAGAGGAATTACTGCCTTGTGTCAAAACTACAAGGTCAGGGAACAAATCATTCTTCAGCACAAAATGATCTTAAAGCAGGATTAATCAATGACATGAAAAATATTATACAAGTCCTGTTTACAGATCATTCTGTGTTGTTGACAGTGAGTAAACTGCTTGCCATTGTTATCCACTTTCATACCTGTGTTACCTGAATATCATGTTCAGCATAATTATAACTGGATTAATTCACTTAAACTGAGCAACTAAATTAGGCATTGGAAATGAAATCACATTCCACAGCTTTGGTTGTTGCTCAACAGACAGTATTAGAAACTTAATCTTGTCTTGTACTCGGGGAATTATTAAAAAAAACAACAACATACTCTTACTACTTACAGAGTCTGGCTGTAGAAATGCCTTGTATGTTGAGATATCAGCAGTGGACGTTGTAGAAAGAGGGTATTTACACGATGAACGTTCTGAGACTCGCAGTTTATGACATTTAGTTCTGAAGCTCGGTAGTTTTTTTCTGTGTATATCAGTTGAAAAGAAAATGGTTAAGGTGACCACAGAATTCAGATATCAACAGTTGTCATTATTTTGGACAAGCAGTTTTGGTAATGCATACAGAAACATGCACAGCAGTACTTTTATTGTTAAATGCCATAACGTTTTCTATAACGTTCAGAAATGAGATGGATAAAACATCAAGGATCACATCTGGCTACAGTAATTTAGAAGGAGCCTGGAAAGAATATTGTAGAGTGTGGTGGTGCTGTGGTTAGCATTGCTGTCTTGCAGCACTGGAGTCCTGGGTTCAGTTCATGCGGTGCCATCGGTATAGAGTTCATATGTTTCCCCTGTGTCTGTGTGGATTTCCTCTGGGTGCACTGATTTCCTCCCACAATCTGAAGACGTACTGGTATGTCGGTTGACTTCAGGGAAAACTGCCCCTGGTGTGAATGTGTGGGTGCTTGTGTCTATATGTGCCCTGTGATGCACTGGTGTCCCATCCAGGGTGTAACCTGCCTTGTGCCCATTGTTTGCTGGGATAGGCTCCAGTTTTCCCGGCACCTGGGTAAGCGGGATAAAAAGGTTAGAAAATGGATTGTGGAGTATATATCATATATGTGGGATCATGGACGGCAAGATCCCACATATATTGAAATGTAGTTGTTTCCTGTGCATGTGATGAGACTGCTAGGAAGCAGGATGCCTGGCAGAAAATCACTGAACATTAGCGAGGGAGCTGTCGAGTGCATTTAATGTGTCCATGGCAATAATCTGCAAGGTTTCTTCTATACTGCTTTTACCTGGGATGGAGGTAAGCAGTCGAATCCAACTATAAATTTATTTCAGATGTTACAACAAATTACTTCTGCAGTCTCAGAGCTGTGTCAGACGTATTACTCTTTATCAGCCCTTTTTTCTTAGATGGCTTTTGTTGATGCTATTTGTTTTATATTAACCTGATAAAAGTGACTCTTCATTCTTCATCATGTGATCAAGTAGTTACTAATATTGTTTGGATTGCATTTGCTGTATTTCCATTAGATCTCAAATCTGATCAGCTCTTCCTGCAAAAGTTAAAATCCAGCACAAACCATGCAATATCTGCTTCTGAGAAAACATTGCTTCAGACTGTTGGAGGTGGACAAAAGATATAGATTATTTTGTTTTGTCTTCATCAGACAGCAATTTGGTTTGTAATAATGCCCAGCTGTGTGTCTCATGGGCTGTTTAATGCCCTTGTTACACCAAGGGAGACAGTGCAGTTCAGGGACTCTAAATGAGGCAGAGTTTCAGACTGTGGACACCCAAAGACAATACACTGAGGTGGAAAACCATCTTTTATTTCACCATGTAGGAGACACAGGTGACCAGGCCAAAGCCAACGGCCAGTTCTTTGTTCTGAGTTCCTCTGTAGGCGTAGTCAGAGAGGTAAGCTGCTTACCAACTAGGACTTACAGAACACAGATCAAATACCAAGTAACAAAGTTCACATACTTCACCAAAACACTCCCTGACTGGTTTTTGGCACGCCGGCATTGCTTTCCCTCTCCATCTCCAGGTAGCAGATGAGACTTCCTGGTAGGTCCGTCTCCTCCTGGTTATTTAGAGTCTCCTGGCCAGTTACCTTTGCCAGATTGGTCAAGAGATGGCAGGCAGCTTGTCACCCCCGCAAGGGCTTGTGGGGGATGTAACTGGAGCAAGAGGCACCACCTTTCTCCTCCCTCCTGCAATAATAAACCCTGTTGGAGTTAAGAAAACAAAGTTGGCAATGCCCGTCTTGATAAATACCACCATCCTGTCCTTTACTGGTGATAAGAATAGTGTTTTGGGTCTTGAAGACTTGCTGTCTTGCTGTCACCAGTTTTATCCAGTTGCATTTTTTTTCTCTGGTTTAGTTTTAGCTGGGAGTTTTTGCAGTGTTTTAACAATAAAAAAACACACATTGTCACCAACACCATGCTTTACAAATGCCCTCCCTTTTAGAATTGTTAGGGCTTATTACGCTTGGCCTCTACTGTAAATCCCAAAAGTGTTTTGCTTAGTTCACGGTCAGATTTAAAGGCTTTTTTTCCTCTTTGTTTTCTCTGTTCTCGTGTAAATCAAATTCCAGTGGGTGAATTGTAATTGAGTTTTGTTAGTGTTGTATGATTAGCTGCTATGGTCTAGGATCATTAGAGACTTATGAGAGTCCAGATCCCTGGTGAGAAAGGCATTCTACTAATTCCGCTTGTTGCTTACATTAATGGTAACGTAATGAGCAGTTATTAGCATATTAATATCTGTCAAAAACTCAGTTTGGGGTGAAACTAAATTACATAGGAAAGAAAATGAAATGAAGTCTAATTTCATTAGAAAATTAAATAGTGCACTATCACAGAGATTTAATGATCTGTGCCTTGACAATACATTTTCCGTCTTCCCATAATTATATTGGCAAGGAAGCCATGCAGTACTCCAGCTAGAAGATTATTTTCTTTATAGGGGCATACTTTCTGAAGGGCGTGTTTTTATTAACAATTTGTTTAAGCCTTTAAATAAGCACCAATGACCAAGAAATAAAAATAAAAGCCTGAATCCTTTTTGTTTAGGGAGGCAGACGAAACCTTGTCTTAAATAACGTATTGCAAAGAAACGATTTAAACGATCGTCCTTTTTTTTCCCCATATTGCTTTTCCTGCAAAACTCTTCTGGAATTTGTTGCTTTGTCCTGACTGTGTGTTGTGCTCCCTGTCCTCTTTCCAGCAACCGGTGCTGACTTATCAGCTGATGTTCAGCCGCCGAGAACTGGGAGACAGTGCTTAGTGTGAGATACCCCAGTCAGGCCTTCCTGGCACTTGCCCAGAAGAAACGTTTCTCCAGGCTAAATAGGCCCAATGTGCTACAAATTGTTCTTGCGTGACATAGGGCACGTTGATTTTTTTATTTTTTATTTTCGTTGAATCCGTGTACTGGCTTGGACATCAGTTGCATGGAAATATAAGAATAAAATGACTGCTTTGTCTTGTCTTCCCTGCAGGTTTTTTCTCATCTCTCCGTGAGGGAACGCTGTCTCTCTGCATCTCTAGTTTGCAAGTATTGGTATGATCTGTGTTTAGATTTTCAGTTCTGGAAACAGATAGACCTCAGTGGCTTGCAACAGGTTTGTGTGAATTTTTCTTTTACAGAATCCCTTTTGCACCCTCATTTTGACCTGTAGATATATTCTGTAGAAAGTGAAAACGTGTATGCTTTGAATTAGATAGATAATACTTTATTAATCCCGAAGGGAAATTGATTATAGTATATAGCACACATACGATGTTGGCATTGTGCTCTTAACGGAGTACGTCCTTTTGCAGACCATTGTTGTAAAAAAAGGAAGAAAATAATGCGCCTTTTTTTTTGTCTCTTGCAGGTCAAAGATGACCTTTTGATAAAGATTGCATCAAGGAGGCAGAATGTGACTGAAATTAATATCTCTGATTGCCGGAATGTTTTAGACTATGGGATTTGCTCTCTGGCCTCGCAGTGCACAGGTCTTCTGAAGTACACAGCCTATCGATGTAAGCAGCTGAGTGACCTGTCCCTCATCACTATTGCAGCACACTGCCCACTCCTTCAGAAAGTGCATGTGGGCAACCAGGATAAACTCACAGACGAGGCTCTCAAAAAGGTAAACCTAAGAAGATAAATTGAGAAGTGTACGGAACAGCGCAGTATACCTCTGCAAAGTGTACTTTGTAAATGATTCTTTTTAAAGTCTTGCATTGTTTTTAAGGGGTTCAAGTGCAGTTTTTAGCATATCTTTAGTGGGGTTTCTATACTGCTATTTATAAATGCATTAAAGCATATTTTTTATTACTGGGGCTAATGACCAGTCAGAACTGCATGTTTCAGTAGGCTGCATGCCTACCTCCTGGAGCCCTTGAGGCTTTACAGAAATCAGCTGCTTCAGGAAACTATTTTCCTGGAGGCAAATACAAAGGGTTTTTGTATTGATTCTTTCTGTCTGCACAGAGAACTGCCAGATCATTAAAATGGGCCCAAAAACTATTGCTGTTTTTATGGTGTTGATGAGGTGGTATTTCAGTTTGCATAAAACAAAGAGGGCCCTGTATTTAAAACACTTAAGCACTTAAACTGCCATTGCTTCATGTGGTAAAATTATTTTCCACAAGAAAGTCTGAAGGGGCTCTCCTCATTTGTTACCTATCTGTCGTTTGGTAGATAGTAGCTAATTGATCAGAGGATCTCCTCCAGCAGCTTCTTGCGTTTTGAGCTCGTTCCAGACACCCAAGTAGTGTCTTAAAAGAATTGCCTCCTGTTTTTGGTTTTAAATATTTTCCAGTGGTGTCCGCTGGTTCGTGTTTTAATTGTCGTTTTCTTTTTCCCCATGTTGCGCATAATGACGATTTCCTTTCTTATCTCCTTTTGGCGGAAAAATAAAAAAGTAATCGTTGTAAATTTCTGATGGGGGTTTTCTGTTCCTTACAGCTGGGGGAGCGCTGTTCAGAGCTGAGGGATGTTCACTTTGGACAGTGCTACAACTTGACTGATGAAGGCATGATAGCATTGGCAAAGGGCTGCCCAAAGCTGCAGAGAATCTACATGCAAGAAAACAAACTGGTATGTCTTCTCCATAGTGACCAGCTCTCCTAAAAAATACACCCTGTTCTGTTACAGGTTGCTTGTACAAAAAGGCACAGTTGGAAGTAATGTAAGTGATTTTAACATTATGCCGTGGAGACTGCTTCACCACAAACTGTAAGTTAAATCCATGCCCATTACTGCCCCAGTAAGAAATGTCTGCTTTAGGTAAACTAGTAGCTGCCATTTCTCATAAATATCAAATGCTATACCACACTAAAATTCAATAAGCCCCACACATAATAGTTATTTAGAAACAGCTGTTATCACTAGTCAAGGAATATACAGCCAACCAAACAACGAGAGGTCTGAGTCTGTTTAAAATAATTTAGAGTTCTGTATGTGTTCAAACTGCTTTTGAGTGCAAACAGACAATAAATGTCATTAAAAGAATCCACTCTTTTAACCTTAGATGATCCTTGTTTGTGATTGATTATATCAAAGCTGTGTTTCTGAGTCATGCAGAAAAAGCAGCAGGTTCAAATTTAATTCTTCATTTTGGAACTCACGCAGCTCAGATATCAGAAGCTTAACCTTGCTAAACATGTGGAAATTGTTTAGCAACCTTTTTTTTCCCCAACTGCCACGTTCAGCTGCTTTTGTCCAAAACAAAAGAGTATAATGGCAACAGCAAAAAAGCAAAAGAAGAAAACATTATTCCTAGCTATGTTTGTATCTACGATTAATAAAGTAGGGTACTACATTATACTTTGTGATAAAACTATAATAAAACAAAGAAACCACCAACTCATTTATACGAGATGTCTAATAATATTTCACTTTATTAAAAAGTCCTGATATATATCTGGTTTCTTTTTAGCTACTCCAGAACTTCAGTACCAGAAGGCATACAAAAGGCAATTATTTTAACAAAATAGTTGTACCAAACAGTATTCTGTTTAGGCCAGACATATTACTATTGATAACCCTTGTCTTGGAAACTGTATCTTCCCTGATGTTTATACACTGAGACATTCTGAATATCTCCTTCTATGCAGTATTGGCTTTCTATTGAAATTTGATAGGTATGTTGCCTGTTCTCTTTTTCCTTTAGATTTTTTCCCAAGTGTCTTTTTGCCTATGCTCATACAATTAATGTACAATTCATCGTAGTTTCACTTTTGGTATTGCAGAAGATTTTTTTCTGCATATTGTTTGCCTTGTTCTAAAATACAACAGTGTATGAGATCTAAGAGTGTATGAAGTTTTGAAAGCGTGGTATAGTTTGATGAGAGACGAGAGGCCCTCAGTGACATGCTTTTCTCTGAGGAGATAAGTTTACAGTGTCTCTGTGCTAACAGTAGGTGTCACTGGTGCTCCATTTCAGATACAGTAGGTCTGCATTTTTTTATTGATTTTATTTAACTTGTAGCTCTTTATGAAGACCTTCTGTTAAAAATGATTGGTAATTTATAACCAGCTGCAGTTCTAATTTCAGGAAAATGTGAACTAGGTGATGGAAATTATAACATGGAAGAGGGCAGTAATAGAAAAGGATGTAGGAATGAATCAAGTCTGAAATCTGAGCTTTTGGAATTTTATCATTGTGTTTGTCTGATCTTTTTGGAGTGTTATTTCTCAGTATATGGTGGTTTCATAAAATTTAGCAACAGAAGGAAATGGTTAAGTTACTGATTTTTCTTAAGCACCATCTGGTTCCTGCGTTTTTAGCCAAAGTCCTTTTACCGCAAGCCCAAACTACGTAGCTTTGTTGATTATGTAAAGCCTAATGGATAAACCACACAAAAGAAACCTAAAACAAGACACATAACCAGATCCCTGGAACTTGAATGTTTGCATTTATTAATACTGAAACACTTTAGAAACTCTAGATTCAAGATGAGCATCATAATTATTCTGTACGTTTTGCCTCTGACCTCAGTTCGTCATTAGGAAGGGTTTTTATGAAAATGTTTTAAAACTTCTGTTTATTATGGGCCACATTGTGCTGCCTTGTCAAATATCCTACAGAAAAGAATCTTAGACCTGATGGATTTGGCATTCACTCTTACACAAGTGTACAAGCTCTGGCAAAGACTGTCGGAGACATTTTACATTGACTAAAGGGATGTTCCTCTTTTCAGTCAGTAGTGTGGCTGACGGAACATTGCAGTCATATATTGATGCTTGGCTTTGATGTCTGTCTCTGTCCAGCTTGGCCCACTGGTCACTTCTGTCACTTCAAATTAAGATGTGACAATTTAGCATATCCGTGTGTGGTGTTCAGCTCTGAATCAGCCATCGTGAGGGGTTAAGTGTTGCTGTGCTAAAAGCCTAAGGGATTGTGGGACTGTAAGAAAAGGAGATGTTTAAAATAACACTTTGAGGGATATCGCTGTCAGCATGAAGAATTTAAGTGCCCAGCCTTTTTATTAACGGGTGCATCATTAGACTTGTGGCCTCAAAATGGTGTCCTTTTCATACAGGCTTCAGAAAACCTTTCGTGGTTTCTTCTGCACATATATGAGACCATCATCAATTGAAAAACACATTGTTAGCAGAGTTCAAATGGTTGTGATCTATATTGATGCTTTGTCATGCCATGCCCAGTCTTCGGCTGTAGTATGGATCTTTCATAATGACCAAGTGTTAGCTTCTGGTCTGCCGAAATATGTTACTTACCACAAAAGTATTTAACTGTTTTAGGTTTTTCAAGGCCAGAATTCAGCAAGCAATGCAAAAATGTCCTGGAAGCTTTACGTTTTTTTTAACATATACGAGAGCTTTAATGCTTTCATAAAACTATCTCTTTCTTAAACAGGCTTACTTGTTTTGTGTGTATATATATATTATTGTATGTTATTTGGAAATTTCTGCTTGCATATAGAAGTCTTTAATGTTAACAAATAGTATTTGCCTTCAATGTTTGTAAATATAGCGGCTGGTAATTTGGTATTCGCTTCATGGTTAGAAAACAATTTCTACAGTTCCGCCAGTTACAGTCATAAGAATACTGTATGTTTAGATTTACATTGGATGACCAGAGAATGTATTTAAGGCTGTCCTATTTAAAATTTCATAGAGAAAGTGTTTTCCTTAGCAGGCTTTGGTAATTATTTTAAGCATTTGATATGATTGTAGTGTTTCTACTTTAGTTAATAGAGAGTAGATTAATCGCTCAATAAGCAATTACCCTTTTTAATTAGAAATTTAGAAGAAGATTAAAACATTGATTTCCCTTACCAAAAAGGAGAGTCATTTCTGAATTATTTACAGTCGGCCTGTTCTTAAAAGGTCTGATTTCCTTGAGCATTTAATTCAAAACTGGAATATAGGCTAATAAATTTCTCTATCAGTAGTCATAAATCCATAGAGTCTTACCCTGCAGGATATGGCATACTTATAACTCGATTCTCCAAATAAAAAAAAATCATTAACTCATTTATTTTTGAGTAATCCCTCAGTAACAACTGCCTGATTAACATATTAGAACAGTTTCAGCGCAAAAAGCATTAAAAATTGAATGTCTAGAACATTGCAACTGGGAACTTAATTCAGATTCTATTGTATTTCTTTAGTATATGCAGTGTCATTTGTCTAGGAAAGGAAAACGAAATCTTAATATAAGTAATGAAAGCCACCATTATAAAAAAAGTTGTTGAAAGAGTATAGTTTGGGTGGGAAGAACCCACGTTTGTCATTTAGCCATCTTTAATTCACATTGCTCATGGTCCTCAAAAATGGGATTGTAAAAACCCAGATTTACTTGAGCAGTCAATATGAAGTGCTGTATTCACGAGAAGAGCAGCTCCTTCACGTTGGCCTAAGGTCCCATGTTGTGTTGAAGGGTTCTGTTCCACAAGTCATTACATAGCCTGGCTTTTACATAGCACCCTGCTCTGGGAGGGTAGCCCAAGAGCCCGTGGGTTTGTGCTATCTGGCCTCTCGGTTCCTGCGCAATGCTGTGATGCTTTGTCCACGGCATCAGGGGGGTGGGGTCTCCTAGTCATGGAGGTTTTGTTACAGCTTCCCTTTGAACCTCCCTGGTGTCCAGACGTGTGGTTTCTCTTCTCTGACCGTACACATCTGCCTGGCGACGGGTGTACACTTCACTGTCGGCCCCAGAAGGGTGCTGGTTTGGCAACACATAACGTTGAGCTGCCTTGTCCTTTGTCCCGTTGATCTTCAGCCTTCATATGCACTCTGCAGAGGAGCAGCGGTGAATGTGTTTACCCTGTTACTTTCCTGAGAACCAAGGTTATGCTCGTAACCTACTGTGTTTTGGAAGGGAGGTTTGCTCTTTATGCTTTTTAACGTGGTATTCATCAGTGTGGCAATAAAGAGACAAGTGAGCACAACATTTCATCATAGTGTACAGGGGAATGTATCACTGATGTGAGTGGGTGATTGCACTAAAGTATCACAAAAAAGCATTAAGATCTTTACTCCCTTAGTGTTAAGTGTAGCACTCCGGGTTTGTAGCCTAATCTTCTCAGATTCCAGAAGCTCTGATGGTTTGACTTCGTCAGTTTATTCTACTGAGTAATATTTGGCATCAACACATTGCTCAACAGAAGGTATACTGTGAAGATCACAGTCTAGTAGCACTTGTGGCCACCATTGGAAGCAGTATAAACCTGCTCTGTGCCAGTTTGCAGATTCTGACTTGTGGGATTGTCATTCTTCAAACAAAGCCTGGACAAGGGTGTATGTGTTCACTAGTCTCTGAGCTCCAGATGTTGTATAGTCGTCCCACCTCATCCAATAACTATTCAATGGGGGTCAAGTCTGACAAGTAGGATATCTATAACAGAACTTCCATAAAGCCATTGTAACATGAGCCATTGCAGCAAGTTCATTCTTCTGTAAGAACATTCACACATGAGGAGGCAACATGGGACCAACCAGTCAGGTTGCTATCAGTGACTACAGGCAGGGTTCAGAAGTAAAATGCACATTGCTACTTGAATCTTGGGGGATGATGTTTCAGTATCGGAGTGGTGTTTTAACTTGGTCTTCAGATTGTGGTCCATCATTGT